GTTGTACACCTGAAAATGCTATATATCAATATTTTAATGAAGAAAAATAGCATTTATTAAGCCCATATACATCACGTACTTTGCCAGACACACACACACACATACACACACTCACACTTATATACATACATATACTAGAGGCCTGGTGCATGGATTCGTTTACCAGTGGGGTCCCTAAGCCTGGCCTGCACCCTCTGGCAATCTGGGATCCCTCGGTGGATGTCGGACTGCCAGTTTCAGTCCGATCCCTACAGGCAGATCGGGAGGATCAAGCTGACATCCCGAGGGATGTAGTAGGGTGAGAAGCGACAGGGCTGGGTTCCGCTTCCGCTCTTCCTGACCCCGCTGTGCCTGCTGCCACCACCCAGTAATGCTGCTTGGGCGGCAGAGGAGGCTTACTCCACCGCAGCTGCACTTACCAGCAATGAGCCCCATGGCATCTGGCACCGGCTGGTCAGCTGAGTGGCACTCCCACTGTGGGAGCACACTAACCACCAGGGGGAAGTTCCTGCACTGAGCGTCTGCCCCTGGTGGTCATTGCACATCATAGCGGCCGGTTGTTCAGTCACTTAAGCTTTTATATATATATATAGATATGTCCTCATTTGTCCAATAGAAATGATTACCTCACAAGGCTGTTCTGAAGATATATAACAGTGTTGCTATTGGGCAGATGAAGGCGTAAACTCAGAAAGGTGCAGAAGGGACTTGTCTGTGGTTATGATACTATTAAGTGGTAGAATGAAAATCTGAACCCAGATCTGGCCCAAAATGCAGAGTGCTTTTCACTGAACCATATCTACCCAAACAGTCGTATCCCTCATCCATCCTATATAATAAAAGGGTAATATGCAAATTGATCCTAGGCGGAACGACCGGGAATGACTGGTCGCTATGATGCGCACTGACCACCAGGGAGCAGACACTCAACACAGGAGCTGCCCCTGATGGTCAGTGCACTCCCACAGGGGGAGCCCCGCTCAGCCAGAAGCTGGCTCATGGCTGACCAGTGCAGTGGCAGTGGCAGGAGCTTCTCCCACCTTCACAGAACGCAAAGGATGTCTGACTACTGGCTTAGTCGGAGAATGGACCTAAGCCATTAGTTGGACATCCCCTGAGGGCTCCAGGGTTGCCAGAGGGATGTCTGACTGCCAGCTTGGGCCTGATCCCTTAGGGCAGTTGTCGGCAAACTGTGGCTCACAAGCTACATGCAGCTTGTGAGCTGCGGTTTGCCGCTTTGTTGACTGATGAGTTTGCCGACCACTGGGATAGGGGCTTAATCACAAGGAACAACAACAGCCTGTAATTATTGGAATCAAGAGTCTAGGTCAGTGGTCGGCAAACTCACTAGTCAACAGAGTGGCAAACTGCAGCTCACAAGTAGCATGTGGCTTGTGAGCCGCAGTTTGCCAACCACTGCCCTAGGGAGTGGGCCTAAGCCATTAGTTGGACATCCCCCAAGGAGTCCTGGGTGCAGGCCAGGCTGAGGGACCCGCCGAGTGCATGGATTTTTGTGCACGAGGCCTCTAGTAATACTGTAATAGTAGTCACTGCTAACATTTATCTAACTCTCCTCATGTGCAAGCACTGCACTAAACAATTTATATGATCTCATTTAATCCTCACAACCACATTGTGAGGTAGTTTTATCAAGATCTCTATTTCACAGTTGAGGAAATGAATTTTTATACAAGTTCAGTAATTACTTTGTTCCCACAGCTGGTAAGAAACAGGACCAGAGTTGAACTTAATTCCAGAACCCATTCTTTTAATCACCACTTTAGACTACAGGATATTCACTCTACTCCTGGCTCCAACCAGGCAAGTCAGTTGATAGTTCAATTTCCTTGTTAATTAAATGGGAATATTGTTATTTGTCCCTACCTATTTCACAGAGATATTGGGATCATAAAATGAGAAAGTGTCTAAGCTTTAAGGAGGAAAATTGCTGTATAAATCTAGGCACTGTCACAAGTTTCACTCTCCCACGATCATAAAGGGATTTAGCTGACATCCTTAGCTCTCAGACATCCTCTGAAGTGGGCAATGAGTATTATTATCTTCACTTATCAAAACACTGAAGCACAAAGAAATGACGTAATTTGCTAGTCAGTGGCAGAGCTGGGAATAAAACCCAAGATTCTAACTCCCACTGCCTATGTTCTTATGGTAATTCCTATTTCTGTGTTTCAAACAACTGTAAAATAGACATGGATAGATATTTTCATGTCAATTATAAATACTTATAGACATAAAATTTTCTACTGCAGTGACACTTATCTAACCTCTAAGGTTCTTAATGCTCACACTCTAGAGAAACTGCATAAAGAATCAAAAAGAAAAAAAAAAAAAAGAATCAAAAAGAAAAATTTCAATTTAACCAAATCTAGTTTTCTCAAATACCTTATTAATCAAAGATTATAAAACTGGGCAAGTCATTACCTAAGTTTCAATTAGTGAGTCTATAAGGGAACATAAAACCTTAGTATTAAGTTGTTCCCTCGCAATATCAGAAAAAAACATCAAATACATTCTCACATCATAAAAACTTAATATCTTATATAATAAAAAGGTAATATGCAAATCGACCGAACGATGGTATGACCAGTCACTATGATGCACACTGACCACCAGGGGGCAGACATTCAATGCCCCTCAGTCACAAGCCAGGCTGACACCTAGCGAGCGCAGTGGCCTGCCTCCACAGCAGCACTAAGGATGTCTGATTGACAGCTTAGGTCTGCTCACCACAGGGAATGGGCCTAATTCATCAGCTGGATATCCCCCAAGGGCTCCCAGACTGCTAAAGGCGGAGGCTGGCCTCAGGGGACCCCCTCCGAGTGCACAAATGTCGTGCACCGGGCCTCTAGTAACTATATAATTTGACTTGGAAATTATACAAACATATCATTCCACAATACCTGAGCTCAAAATCCAAGTTCCAACATGAACTGTATAATTAAAACAAAAACAAAAGTACACATGGCATCTTCATCATCATTCTTCTCCTGTATAAAAATAAAAATCAATTATGTGCTTCCCACTCAAGACCCATCACAGATACTCACAAACTTTAAGTAAAATAAAAAGTAGTAATGGGCCAATTCTGCCTACCATTCTGTTTTAAATAGAGGACGAGTATTCAGTCTAGTCCCCAGTTAGAAGCTCCTCCCAATTCTTGTTTTCTAGACCAACACAATGATTTTTCAATTACTGGTTTGATAATCACATATTTTGAAATTACCAAAGTGGCCAGAGGAAAAATAACAAAAAGAAATTTCTCCTCTCAAAATGGGACTAAATACCACAGCCCACAGATTCTTCATGATTACTCTCTGATTGAATTATATTTATACATAAAAAGCCTGTCATTTTATTATAGGGATAAAAACTAAGTCACAGGAACCCAAAAAGCTAGTTGACTAATGTGAAGAGTTTGTTTTTTGAGTGGCTTGAGATGTCTAATTCCCTCCTAGCTACATACTACAAGCCTTACCACCTTACCCTGTGCTACGAGGGAAAGTGAATGACATAGGACTCCCGGTTTTCCCAGAGGCTGTTTTAATATATTAGTCCATCTTCCCTTTGAGAACAATCTTTGTCTTGGTTTCCATAATTGAAAACAATCACATCCTCTGTTGGGTCAGGTGTGCTAAGGTCTCTGCAACTTAAATGTGAGTATGAATCTCCTGTTGATCTTGTTACAATGAAGATCTGGGCCTGCATGTCCAACCAGCTCTCAATACTACTGCTTGACACACCACACTTTGAGTAGCAGAACTCTAAGGAATGTTTCCCAATAGAAAGAATCTCAATCATATGTTTATTGTAAAAATAAATAAATAATAATAATAATAAAAATACAGCCTCCTCCAAGAGTTTGATAAGGGAGATAATATTCCAGAGGCTAACTAAGGTTTTGCTCCCTTCCCCTTTTCTGTGATTTTTACCAGGTAGTTGTCAATTCAATGTAATATCTTTTTTTTTTAATATTTTATTGATTTTCTTAGAGAGAAGAAGGGAGAGAGATAGAGAGCTAGAAAAATCGATGAGAGAGAAACATCGACCAGCTGCCTCCTGCACAGCCTCTACCGGGGATGTGCCCGCAACCAATGTACATGCCCTTGGCTGGAATCGAACCTGGGACCCTTCAGTCCGCAGACCAACGCTCTACCGCTGAGCCAAACCGGTTTCGGCCAATGTAATATCTTAATAAAGGTGCTGACAATTCATTGGGGTTTGACTTGATTGAGACATGTTTGGATAAACATAACACTTCAAGCCTTTCATAATCAAAGAGTTGATTCAAAATAAATATTTTAAAATTATGTCAAATACTAATGAATAAGTGATGTTTACAAATAGTTTATAAGAGAATCATTTGGGATTAATAATTTTAATTTCTCCCACAAAATAAATAGCTCATGTACTAAAGAAGACACCTTTCCTTAAGCAGAAAAAAATCCAACAAAAATAAAATCATGCTCTCATGACATAGTCATAATATTATTTTCAGTGAGGAAAATAACAAGATTAAGACATAAAAGGCATATGAGGAGAATTTCATGGCATAAAATTTGTTCTAGAACCTGGGGTAGAAATCAGGAAAAGAGAACAGTTGGTAAATTTAAGAAAGATTTTAACTAGAAAAGATTACACATGAGAGCAATAGTCCATTCTTTCTTAATATTAAATAGTTCATTAAGAAAACTAATCAATCCATAAACTTTTAATTGTAGGTTTTCAATAATGCTTTCTCTTCATATGACCACCAGTCCAACCTCCCCCACAAAATTCAACCAATTATCATAAAAATTAAGTTGGCTATCCTCTATGTTTACCCTTAAATATTTTGAAAGCCAATGAGGGTAAAAATTCACGGTGGAAAGAGCAAAAGTAAAAAAAAAAAAAAAAAAAAAAAAAAAAAAAGAATCACTTCTCTTCGCACAGAAAGAAACTCCCATCTTGAGCACCGTCCTCACTCTGCAGGGTAAGGTGTCTCAATGCCTGGGCCCCCTCTTCAGCCCCATCACTGTGAAGGTAGCAGCCACCAGTTTCTCATACACAAGGAACATGAGAGCAGCAGTGAGGACTGTCTGTAGCAGTTTGGCTTCAAGTCCTTTGTAGAGTCCTATTATTCCAAATCTCCTAAAAGAAAAGAAGTTTGAAACATAAAGTAAGATTTTTCTTTATAAAAGTCAACTCCTGCATCAAAGAGACAGTTGCTACTTTGATGGCGACTTTGCAAAGGTTTATCCTCAGGATTAAACAAGCAATGGAAGTTTTAGGTTGTAACAGACTTCTGTTGTCAAACTATTATCTGTCAAGGCACTTGAAGATTGATTAAAGTTCAGTATTCACAAGCCACCAATCCTTTTGTCTTCATTATCGCCATTAATTAGCAAAATGCTGACAATATCCCAGATAGGATGCAAATCCTAAAACCATCTCAATGCCAAGATCTGAGATCTAAGAACTTTTAGATCTTTAACACTCTCCCGATTCAGTTATTTCAACTTAATAGTCCTTAAATGGTAGGAAAACTGCAACTTGTTTTAAATCATTTTGGCTTCAACAGAACTAGGCAAAATGACCAAAGTGAAAGCTGCCTGTTTTCCAGCTTTCCTATACATTTGGTCTTCCAACTCAGGGGTTCTCAAAGTTAGCGTACTGCATCAGAATCACTGAAGGGCTTATTAAACCAGATTGCTGGGTCACATCCCCAGAGTTTCTAGTTTATTAAGCCTGGGAGGGGCTTAATTAGAAATGCGGATTTCTAATAAATTCCCAGGTGGAGATCAGCCATTTAGGACCACTATTCTAACCACAGAGAAACTGCTTCAGCTAAAACCAAAACCTCAGAGGAAATGATTTCTCCATAGCCGCTGCATGTTGAGAGTGAACTGATCTCATATGCTAGTTCATCAGCAACTCTAGGCCTATGTACGGCATGAACACTGAGACAGACAGTACAACTGATCAAGTGCTCCATGCACAAGCTATTCTATATTTTATTTGCTATGTGTGAAAACTTACTATTTGGGGCAAATCATGTGATAAATAGCAAGGAAAAGCCTTGACGCATGAATTGCTAGTTCATTAATTAACGTGAATTACGTTCCCCCAAGAAAGTCCACTTCAGTGTTTCTCAAGGTGAGGTCTGCTGTGACATTACAGAAAGCATGTAATCGGTCTCTGTCCCTGGTTCCTGGCACAGAGCGCTCCTAAAACCCTTGGGATTACTTGAGGGATAAGAGCAACAGGATCATCTCTTGTTCTAATATTTGATCTCTGACCCTGGATCCTGGCAGAGTCTCTAAATATCAGAATATCCTCGGTAATTGCAGTGTCTTCTATTGTAATGAGATGACTCTTGGTGGGCTCCTGGATGGCGCCGGGGTGGGGGAGTAAGCCATGATCAGAAGCTTGGAATTCTCAGCCTCATCTCCATCCTCCAGAAAGGGGAGAGAGCCAGACAAAGAGTTGACAGATTGTGCCCACATGATGAGACCTTCATAAAACCAACAGTCTGGGTTCAAAGAGCTCTCAGTTGGGTGAACATATCCACGCTCCGGAAGGGTGATGCACCCCAACTCCATGGGCACAGATGTTCCTGTGATGGGACCCTCCCAGACCTCACCCTGTGCAGCTCTTCATCTGGCTAATCATGTATCATGACATCCTTTAATAAAATGGTAACATAAATGTTTCCTGAGATCTGTGAGACACCCTAGCAAATTAATTTAAATAATTAAATCCCAGTGCGATGGAGGAATGGGAAACTCAGAGTTGTGGCCAAGTAGGACAGAAGTTATGATGAGTTTTGCCGAGACCGGTTTGGCTCAGTGGATAGAGCATCGGCTTGGGGACTGAAGGGTCCCGGGTTCGATTCCGGTCAAGGGCATGTACCTTGGTTGCGGGCATATCCCCGGTGGGGGGTGTGCAAGAGGCAGCTGATTGATGACTCTTTCTCATCGATGTTTCTAACTCTCTATCTCTCTCCCTTCCTCTCTGTACAAAATCAATAAAATATATTTAAAAAAAAAAAAAGAAGTTATGATGAGTTTTGACTGATGTACATACCCACAAAACCATCCCTACATTCAAGATAGTGAACATATCATCACCCCCAAAGTATCCACAGGTCTCTTTATAATCATTCCCTCCCTCCTCCTACCTCTGCCCCAGGTAACCACTGATTTGCTTTCAGTCACTATGGACTTGCATTTTCTACGTTTTAAATAAGTGGAATCATGTCTGACTGCTTTCACTCGGCATAATTATTTTGAGATTCATCCATGTTGCTGCATGAATCAATAATAGCTACTTTTTTATTTCTCAGTATGCCATTATAGAGAAATATCACAATTTATGTATCTGTTCACCTGACGATGAACATTTGAGTTGTTTCCAGTTTTTGACTCTTACAAATAAAGCTGCTATTAACATTTTGTACAAGTTTCTGTGCAGACACATTTTATGTCCTGCGGGTCAATACCCTGAGGTGGAATGGCTGGGTCCTATGGAAAGTGCGTCTAACTTTTTAAGAAAATGCCAAGCTGCTTTCCAAATGCCAAGCTATATTCCCACTTCCTCTTTCAAAGGAGGCTCCTGCCTTATTTGATGTCCCTAAGGATCAGTTTCTTGAAACAAAACAAGGAAATGACGAAAGTACATGCCTCACAGGACTACTGTTCAGATTGTGATATTCCCCACATAAAGCATCAAGATCAGTGTCTGCCACAAAGCGGACACTCAAAAATGTCACTCTTACCATCTTCATTACCATTATAATTGTTATTACTCTCCCTACTCCCCGCTTCCTTCCTCACTGTGACTACTGCTCTACAATTCCTATCTCTGAGAGAGTCCACAGGATATGCCACTCAAGCAGAACGGTATATTAGATTTTGGAGGGTTCCCGTTATACAGGAGTTCTGCATATTTATAACAAAGTACAAGGAGCTGAACTTTTCCCTAATTTCCCAAAGTACTGTCATATTTCACCAAACCCCTAAAATGAGAAATGTCTGAGCACAGAATCCAAGGGAGAGGTTTCCAGGCTGCCGCTGAAGAGGCAGCTGAACAAGGTCAGCAAACCCACCCGCTCCCCAGCAGGGAGGCTGTTGAAAACGCACCTTACTCGCTGGTGAAGAAGATAGAGAACATTGCGAAGACTCCCCAATGTTCTGTTTTCTGGGTTGAGTCTGTGACGTCCAAACTGGGGAAGGAGGAAAAAATAAATAAATAAAAGACTGTATAGTACTGCTTTCTTTATCTTAATTTGTACCTGCACAGTAAATTCTGTTGGGAGTGATGTCTTACACACCATACAGTAATAAAAATATCCAATTACTATTATATGTAGATTTTATGAATCCTCTATGTTTCAGTGAAATAAGTGAAAACAAGAAATATGTTTCAATGAAGCAAGCAAGAGAATTTTCACTTTACAGAGAATTATGGGGAAAATTCTATCTCAAAAGAAAAGATACACGCCCATGATGAAGATATAAATAGTGATGGTATGTATGGCTTTACTTCCAGTCCTTTAAGATGTTCTGATAAATACTAACCAGTTAGAACCATTGAAGTTTAAGCTCTTCACATTGTTATGTTTATATATAAGTCAAAAAACATTATTTGAATGCTACTGAATTCCTTTATATAAAGTACTACGTTTTAAATAGTACATTAGTAAAAATACTTTTAAGAGGTTAGAATTTTTTGAACTGACATACTCTCACTACTACTGCCATTTTATCCATTGATGAGTTCTTTGACTTTTTTTTTCCAAAACAGATCATAACACTTTTTAAAAAATTTTTTTTATTGATTTCAGAGAGGAAAATAGAAACATCAATGATGAGAATCATTGATTGGCTGCCTTCTACACACCCCACACTGGGGATTGAGCGCTCAACCCGAGCATATATTCTGACCAGGAATCGAACCTAAACCTCTGGTTCATAGGTTGAAGCTCAACCACTGAGCTATGCCCACTGGGCCAGATCATAACTCTTTCCATATCTCTCTCCTCGCCACTGCTACCACTTTAATCTAGGCCACTATCACCTCTCACCTGTGTTGCTGAAATGGCCTCTTACCTGATTCCCAGCCCCCTTTTCTCTTAGCCTCTGATCAATTCATCAGAACAGCCACACTGATCTAGAACTGTAAGTCAGAACACATTGCTCCCCGGGGTAAAACCCTTCAAAGGCTTCCCACAAATTGCAAGCAAACTCTAGACCTTCCCTGCTACTTTTCCAATCTCATCCTGAGCCATTCTCCACCCACAGCGGCCTCCTTTCAGTTCCTAGGATTCACCAAACGCTTAGCACATAATGTTCCCTCTACTTACAATGCTCTTCGCATAGCTGGGTCCTTATCTCACTTTAAGTCTTGGTAATGCCTCCTCTGAGAAACCATCCCAACCATCCTATGTAATGAGATCCCCATCAAGCACCTCTCCACCAAGTCACAGAACGCTGCTTACTTTCTTTGTAATTATGTTCAGTTTGTATGTATTTTGCTTCTTTATTTGTTCATTCTCTCCTCAATGAAAATTCTACCTAAAATAAAACTCTGGAGACAGGGATTATGACTATTTTATTCACCACATGTACCCAGATGTAGAGGGCCACCTGGGAAGGCACATAGGCATTTTTTTAAATTGTTGTCAGCTGAGTCCGAGACGACTGGCAGAGCCGCATCTTAGATACACATTTCCCCAAGATGGCAGAGAGTGTAACCAGCTGGACCTTTATATCAGCCCAGGCAGGGGCAGGTCTAGATATGTAAATCCAGTCAAGCACTAGGAATGCTAGGGCCTACTCAAGAATGCAAATAAGCTCCTTTGATCCTAAGTTTTGGTGATACTTCCTGGTATTTGGGGGTATAAAATAAATGCGCTGCATGGGATCAGGGTGGCTGCCTCTCCATCAGAGAGACTGGCATCCCCCTGGCTCCCAGCTTGCTTCTATTTCTGAATCTTGCTCTCTTTCTTTCTTTTATTTCTTAATCCCCAGCTCCTCCACTCAGGAACTGGACTCGTTCCTTTTCCATGCTGGACTCGGAAAAGAGAGAAACACCTCCACACCCAGTGGGCACTTAATAAACATTTCAATGAATAGCCCAGAAATGGGAAACTGTCCAAAAAAGCAAAACCACTAATAGATGCAGAGATGCAGACCTTGCGAAGACCCTAACTGGTAAGACCATCACCCTTGAGGGTGAGCCCAGTGACACCCTGAGAATGTCAAAGCTAAATCCAGAACAAGGAGGGCATCCTCAGTTTTGCAGGCAAACCCCGGGAGCATGGCCATACTCTCTTAGACTACAGTATTCAGAGTCCACCCTGTACTTGGTGCTTTGAGGGGTGGCATCATCAAACCCTCCCCCGCCAGCTAGCCTAGAAGTATAACTGCAACAAGATTACACCTGCCCTGTGCTGTCAACTGTGACAAGAAGAGCGGCCACGCCAACAACCTGCGCCCCAAGAAGAAGTTAAATAAGGCCCCTCTACCCCTTCCCCGGGCCAACAGGGCAGCCTTCCGGCTGAACTGTGACCCTAAGGCCTCAATAAAATGTCTCTTTTGTTGACTGGAGCAGTAAAAAAAACAAAAAAAAGCAAAACTATTAATTTCTCTAGAATAAACGAAAGGAATCAACCTCTGGTTTTGTAAAGGATAATTTGCCCTAGGACACCTCTTTTTTTTTTTTTAATATATTTTTATTGATTTTTTACAGAGAGGAAGAGAGAGGGATAGAAAGTTAGAAACATCAATGAGAGAGAATTATCGATCAGCTGCCTCCTGCACACTCCTCACTGGGATATGCCCACAACCAAGGTATATGCCCTTGACTGGAATCGAACCTGGGACCTTTGAGTCCCGCAGACTGACGCTCTATCCACGGAGCCAAACTGGTTTCAGCTAGGGCACCTTCTCTTGAATGAGAAGGACGCAAACTTATACTTTCCTGAGTCAAGAACCTGCATTTGGGTTTTCTGAGACACTATTGTTACTTAAGAAATTGCAAATGTAAACTTCGTTCCAAATCAAATAGGACACTAAGTGACAGCCAGCCTGGTGAGCAGAATATAAGACAAATGGGAAAATGAATGAGAAACGCTTAACCTGCTTTAAACAGAGAAACCACGTATTTTAGAATGCTGCTTGACTAAATGCAGAAAGAACCCCAGCACTCACCCTCAGAATGGACTGTACTGTCTGCATGGGGTAGGTAACGGTGGTGGCAATCGCTTTGGCTAATGCACCAATGATGAACACATCCAATGAAGAAAGCTGGAAAGCAAAGAAAGACCAATCATGTCAATCCAAACAATAAGAACAGGAGATTACTGATTGCTGAATTCAAAATCAGTATTACCTTCTTTCGTTTCTTTAAAAGTTGCCGTTTTAAACCTTCATAGAACATGAACTGGATGGCAGGATTGAAAACCAGCAGCAAGGAGGGAAATGTGCCATTCCATAAAGACAAGATTCCTTCATCTCGAATGATCTGCTGAAAAGCATCTAAGCAAGAAATCAAGGACATTCTGATGACAATCCCATAACTAGAGAAGATGAGGCGAATTCTGTTCAAATGGTTCTATCAAGATTTCCTTCTTGCCCAGTTGGCATGGCTCAGTGGTTGAGCATTGACCTATGAACTAGGAGGTGATGGTTCAATTCCCAGTCAGGATATACGCCCAGGTTGTGGGCTCAATCCCCAATGTAGGGACTGCAAGAGGTAGCCAATCAATGATTCTCTCTCATCACTGATATTTCTATCTCTCTCTCCGTCTCTCTTCCTCTCTGAAATCAATTTAAAAAAATTTTTTTAATTAAAAAAATATTCCTTCTTGTAATATTTTAAGGACAAGTTCATCAATTCACTACTATAGTATTTCATTGATTTTCCACAGAGAGGAAGGGAGAGGAATAGAGAGTCAGAAACATCGATGAGAAACATCGACGAGCTGCCTCCTGCACACCCCTCACTGGGGATGTGCCCGCACCAATGTACATGCCCTTGACTGGAATCGAGCCTGGGACCTTTCAGTCCGCAGACTGACACTCTATCCACTGAGCCAAACCAGTTCCGGCCAGTTAACTACTGTTGATAATTATCAGATACTGACAGTCATCAAGTTATTGAGAGACAACTTCAATAGGGAACTCCTTTTGATCATCTGGAGTCAGAATGTCAAGTTTTCCTAAGGAATCACCAACTCTGGAAACTCTGTATTACAGAGGATTATTTCACAAAAAAAGGCCAGTAAAACAAATGATAACATAGTTCCTTGGAGTCCATTTTATAGGACTGACTTATAAGAAAATCACTGTCATTGCAAACACAGGAAAGGAGAGCCTGGCAGTGTGATACTATTAAAAGCAGAAGCTCATGGATAGCTTTGTCTAAAGCGAACACTAGGGAAAGAAGTATAGTAGATTACTCTTCAGATGTATTCAACCCCTCCCACCCACACTCCAAGGTAGAGGTTACTTCTCTAGCCCATGGCTTTGAGCTTGGCCATGTAATATGCTTTGGCCAACAGATTGTTAGCAGTCAAGATCCAAAAAGGGACTTGAAGTATGCTTGTACGACTGGGTGTGTCCTCTTGTGCATCATCATTACCAAGAGAAGAATATGCTCAAGCTGGTGCCAGGAAGGTGATGAGACACATGGAGCTGAGACTCCCAGGCTAGGGTTGGCCTAAAGGAGTCAAATCCCTGACAATTCTAAGATATATGAGCTAAACTAAACAAATGCTTACTATTGAATGTTGAGATTTGAGGTCGTCTTTTATATAAGACTACAGGCCCGGTGCATGAAATTATTGCACTTGGGGGGAGGGGTCCAACAGCCCAGCCTGCGCCCTCTCGCAGTCCGGGAGCCCTCGAGGGATGTCTGATTGACGGCTTAGCGCTGCTGAGGAGGTGGGAGAGGCTCCTGCCACAGCTGCTGCACTCACTAGCCATGAGCCTGGCTCCTGGATACTCGAGTGGTGCTCACCCTGTGGGAGCAAACTGACCTTCAGGGGGCAGATCCTGTGTTGAGCATCTGCCCCCTGGTGGTCAGTGTGCATCATAGAGACTGGTCATTTTGCTGTTCAGTTGATTTGTACATTAGCCTTTTATTATATAGAATTATTGTGGCAATAAATTCCAAATACAAAAAAAACCTTAAATAGAAACTCAGAGCCAAAGCAACCAGCCAACCAGCTGGTAGGCATGACACACACTGACCACCAGGGGGCAGACACTCAATGCAAGAGTGCTGAGCAATGAAACTTTGTAGAGTGATTTTTTGCACTCCCGGCCCCTGAGGATGTTGAATTGCTGATTTTGGTCCAATACCCACAGGCCAGGCCAAGGAACCCCACCTTCTGGAGGGACCCCGCTCACTCCACAGCACCCTTTGAGCTTCAGCACCGCCCCAGGTGTGGCCAGCCAGGGAGGGGCCATGGGAAGTTGGCTCCAGGGCGTGTCTGGCCCATCTAGCCCAGGCTTACTCTGCCAACCACCTTCTAACTAATTTCCTTTCAATGTGGATGAATCCAGGCACCAGGTCTCTAGTATCCTATAAATATAATATAGAAGCAATACCGTGTTTCCCCGAAAATAAGACTTCCTTTGAAAATAAGACCTACTTACAGGTTTCCTTCTGAGTGAAATATAAGGCATCCCCTGAAAATAAGGCCCCCCCCCCCTAGGCTGAACATGAGAGATTTGGTCCACTGATTCTGAAAGAAATGAAGTCAAGAAATTCACCAGGAAATTCAGGAATTGGATTGTTCTGATGATGTTCCAGAAGATGATGACATGATTGTCATTGAATAAATGAGTAAATTCTTGATACTGTAGGATTCACAGTTTGTCTGGTTTGTGTTGACAACTACCGTACTACCGTATTGTATACAGGTAATAAATTTTCTTTATTTTCATTTAACAAGAAAAAAAAGAAAAAAAAAAGAAAAAAGAAACTCAGAGCCAAAACCGGTTAGGCTCAGTGGATAGAGCGTCAGCCTGTGGACTGAAAGGTCCCGGGTTCAATTACAGTCAAGGGCATGTACCTTGGTTTCGGGCACATCCCCAGCGGGGGATGTGCAGGAGGCAGCTGATCGATGTTTCTCTCCCATCGATGTTTCTAACTCTCTATCCCTCTCTCTTTCTCTCTGTGAAAAAAATCAATAAAATATTTAAAAAAATAGAAACTCAGAGACACTTACCAATAATACCTTTGTAGTTGGTTGGTACAATGTCTTCATTCCTAAATTTTGCCCCTTGCAGCTTTAGTCTGGTGTTTACCACCCAGAGTGGAGTTGTTAGCAACACATTCACCACTCCTTTAAAAAGAAAGAGGGAGAGACAAAAAGTAAGCAAAATGTAACCTTTTGAGCTTTGCTGTCTTGAATTGAAGCTACATACCAATATTTCATTTGTTCTTCTGCCACTGACCTACTAGGAGACCCAGGGTACAGTGTCGCTTTGTGCGAGGATATGTCACAACCCACAACTGTTAGAAGCAATTCAGAAGACTTGCCGATGGCAAAACGGCTGGCAGTAGTACCTCTCCTCACGAAATGAGTAGTAAGTTTCCTTATTTGTGTAATAGGAAGTAATCTGTTAATTTATATAGCATCTAAAGTAGCAATTTTGATATAGTTTTAAAAACAATTTTTCAAAAACAGCTGTAAGAGACAAGTGGTTTATTGATCACATGCTAAGTCCACGACAACATTAGATAAAACACACAATTAACAATTCTCTCATGAGTAGCTCACATGGTTTTAAGTGAGTATGGATCTGGTACAATGGGTGACAAGTGGTGACACTGGAAAGTGCTTCAAGAGGGACTAGATGATTACAAACGAGTTCCTCATCACTTAGGGGATCAGGATAGGCAGGCAGCAAGCAGTCATGACCAACTGTCATAAAACACTTAAAACAGCTTTGTAAGCACCCTAATCCTTACAAGCTTAAAAATGGAGATCATGGCCCCCCAAGGCTGCCTCGGAGTTGTACAACACAATGATTCAGCTGCTTCTTTTTGAAAACACATGATCCCAATTAAACACCATCTTGAGATATTAATATATTCCTCATCAGTCCTGAAATAAGAGTTGTAACAAAGTGCCTGACACATAGCATACACTTTATAAATATCTGTCAAATAAATATTGAATAAATGAACCTATGAACAAACTCAGTAAATGACCATACATGGAGCTATCTGGCCCTAGTCATGCTGTGAAGAACCAAGAGCTGCCGAAACCGGTTTGGCTCAGTAGATAGAGCGTCGGCCTGCGGACTGAAGGGTCCTGGGTTCGATTCCAGCCAAGGGTATGTACCTTGGTTGCGGGCACATCCCCAGTGGGGGACGTGCAGGAGGCAGCTGATGGATGTTTCTCTCTCATCGATGTTTTTAACTCTCTATCCCTCTCTTCCTCTCGGTAAAAAAATCAATAAAATATATATTTTTTAAAAAAACAAAAAAAAAAAAAACAAGAGCTGCAATCCTAAGGAAGAGAAATCTTTTACTAAAAGTCATTTAAATAGGAGAAAGAAGGTTTTGATTTAAGTAATCTCAAAACATACTACAGTCAAACCTCTGTTCTCGAATGTCTCCCATCTTGAACAATTTGGTTCTTGACCAAGTTGTTCATAGGAAAAAAGGCCTGTTTCCTAACAGAACTTCAGTTCTCAACCTGACAACCCTTTCATGCGGACACATCAGCATGACAAAACCATCTCTCAGGCCACAAAGGAGAAAGTTCCAGTCAGCTTACTGCTACACCTTCTTTGTGAACATCTCAGGAAATCAGGAAAGTGTGTTGTGAATATTTTAATGTTTTGTGGGTTTTGTTTGCTTTTGTTGCTGGTGAAATGTACACTTATCACAATTTTATTTTATTTATTTATTATTTTTTTAATATATATTTTATTGATTTTGTACAGAGAGGAAGGAAGAGAGATAGAGTTAGAAACATCAATGAGAGAGAGTCAGCTATCAGCTGCCTCTTGCACACCCGCTACTGGGGATATGCCCTCAACCAAAGTACATGCCACTGACCGGAATCGAACCCGGGACCTTTTAGTCCCCAAGCCGACACTCTATCCATTGAGCCAAACCGGTTTCGGCACTTATCACAGTTTTAAAACATAAAGAGGCTGTCAGGTGTGCTAAAGTTGCTAAGGGTGTGAAAGTGCTCATAAAACAGTGATCACAGGCTATCGAAGAGGAAGGAAAAACTATTGTTGATTGGGATAATTGTAAAGCAGTCAGTGGGTTACAATTTCAGAGGCAATGCTATATGAAAAAGCAAAATGGAATTGAGAGTGATTCACTTAAGGCTAGTAGGGGGTGGTTCGATAAATTTAGGAAAACAAGTATTTGCTTATAGATTAAACAGTACATTAGAAAGTTTAAAAGAAGGAACAATTTAAGGGTCTGGAATGGATTAACTCCTTGACATTATTTCTAATGGCAAAAAAATTATCTGCTTTTCAAACAAACTGTTTCTGAAACAGCCTTCTGGAACAAATTAAGTTCGAGAACCAAGGTTCCACTGTACACAGAAAATACAGTCTAATCAAGAATAAGCCTTTGTGACAGCCAAGATATTAAAATTGTTTTCATTTGTCGCATACAGAGCAAAAGTAAAATATTTTGCTACTGCTCTCTTGGAAGCATTATGGGAACATATTTCTTAAAAGACATTATCAAATAATTTTATGAGCTGTATTTGTCATATTTTTATAGAGTGGCATTCCACCAAGAAGCCATCATTAATTAGGACTCAATATATTCATGTATTATCATTTTAGGCACTGATCATAATCTGAATAAGTCTTAACCAAAGATTCCTGCTGGTCTCATTTTTTAAAAGCACCAATGCCCAAAAGGCCAAGATAAAAGAATATTAATTCATGGCCATTTGCCCAGACTTTATAATGTACTAGGGACCTGGTGCACAAAACTCATGCACTTGCGGGGGAGAGGGGGGTTCCCTCAGATTGCGAGAGGGTGCAGGCCAGGCCAAGGGACCCCACCGATGTACAATCAGGGTCAGGGAGGGATGGGGGGGGAGGGAGGTTGGCCAGCTAGGGAGGGACAGCCAGAGGGCTCCAGAGCGTGTTCAGCTTGTCTCACTCAGTCCCAACTGGCCAGACTCGCGCAGCAAGCTAACCTACCAGTAAAAGCATCTGTCCCCTCGTTGTCAGTGCATGTCATAGTGATTGGTCAATGGGTCGACTGCCCTCTGGTAGTCAGTGCACGTCATAGCGAGCGGCTGAGTGGCCTTGGCATATCATTAGCATATTACACTTTGATTGGTTGAATGGCCAACTGGTCAACCAGACACTTAGCATATTAGGCTTTTATTATATATAGGATTCTTATTCAATGCATGGTACACATCACTTAACAGAAAAATCAATAGCAAACAAACCTGATTGAAAAGTGCTACTGAGCAAACAGCATTTAAAATATATATATATTTTATTTATTTTTTTACAGAGAGGAAGGGAGAGGAATAGAGAGTTAGAAACATCGATGAGAGAGAAACATCTATCAGCTGCACACCTCCTACTGGGGATGTGCCTACAACCAAGGTACATGCCCTTGACCAGAATTGAACCTGGGACCTTTCAGTCCACAGGCTGACGCTCTATCCACTGAGTCAAACCGGTTTCAGCGCAAACTGCATTTTTTTATAGATGAAGATGGGAGAGTTCAGAAGCAGAGATCACAAGAGTCCATGGATACTGCAGGCAGGCACAACATACAGGAAAGATTAACATGGATGGTGTGATGGTACTTACAGGCAGGCTAAATAGCCATCTCAGGCGGTGATTAAAGGAAATTTTAATTTATTTAGAGAAAAGAGATGGAGGATTGGATATCCAAAGGGAGGGGCTGCACAGCACGGAGACAAGGGGACATAGGGTCAATGATGGCAGCAAAAATATACTAGGCAACGGGAAAGCCTAAGTTGGGCTGCTTTGGCTCACTGAGAAGTCAAAGAGAGGGGGGCCTTGGAGACAGGTTCAGGGGGTTAGCCTGGGATGAGCTGTTACTGCCCATTGCTCCCCAGGATGCAAGTCTCATGGGGTCCCTTAGACGTTAGAGGATGCATGCCTGTGCAGGAAGGAGAGGGAGAAGGGAATGACAAGGTAGTGATCCTTGGAGGGTGGGGGGAGGGTGGGAAGGCACAGGCTCCCTCCAGCCAAAGGGTTTTAAGGGTGGAGATTTTGGGAGGGGGGGGGTGTCCCAGGGGAGGATGGTAACAGAATATTCAGCAACTTTCCAGGCGTGTCCTTTCAGGGTTGTGGTCTCCACTGATTGATTGGCTGGTACCAGGACATGGTGGTGCCAGCCAATCAATCAGCCAGTCCTGAGGTCAGCCATGGGGTTGCTGGTCTGGTTTTGCTGCTTTTCTGGGCCTGGAGCTGAAATACAACTGAGGCCTAAATGTTATCTTTAGATAGGAAAAGGTCAGGAGGTCTAAACTGCATACACATGGATATGCTAGGGGAAAATCGGTTACCCTGGAGGCAAGATTCTTGTTTTCCCAATTTTGCCCATTGCTAGGCATCTGGGGCTTTCTATCCTGGTGAGTTTCTGTACCAGGCCTATTGTCCTTGCTCTGCTCATGTCTATCTAGCACTACATACCTTTGTTTTTTTTCCTTTTAAATATTTTTATTGATTTCAGAGAGGAAGAGATAGGGAGAGAGAGACAGAAAACATCAATGATAAGAGGGAACCATTGATCGGCTGCCTTCTGCATGCTCCCCACTGGGTATAGATCCTGCAACCCAGGCATGTACCCTTGAACAGAACTGAACCTGAGACTCTTCAATTTGCAGGCCAAGGTTCAATCCACCGAGCCAAACCAACTAAGGCTAACACTACATACCTTTCTAAACAAATATAATAGGATGCCTATTAAATAAATTCTTTAGAAATCAAAATTTCCTTCATGTTCTATTCAAAGGGTAGGCACAAAGAAAACATGTCAGAGGCAAGGCAGCCAAGATTAAGATTTACCCATTATTTAAAATTCTGTTTTCATATTCCCTTTAGTAACACGAGTTGATAGACTGAGAGGGTCTTAAGGACAATCTCAAGTACAAAAATGCACTACATCATTTAAAGAGAATATAAAATCCTTGTAAGAACATTTTGTATTTCAAAGCTTTTTATCTGAGAAGTTCAAGTGCTCTGTTCATCCTCTAAGCCAAAATAGATAGAGAGGTATTTCTTAAACACTATAATTTTATGAGTTCTTGGAAAAGACACTCAAAATACTTGAGGATCCGAAACTTGATTAGAAACTTACACCCTATGTTATCAAGCAAAGGACAACATTTCAAGTTGGAAAAACAACTATAAATGGTCGTGATGAGTGATTCCAACACTTACTGAAGCATTAAGGAGAGGGCTGAAGGATAAAGAATGCTGTCTGCTTATTTATGAGCCTGTATAGAAAAGTCTTTTTTCTAGCGCCAGACTGTGGCTGATACTTCAGCTCTAAGATAGGAATACAGAGTACTAATTCTTTATCTACTTTATGATAGGAGATTGATTTTCTTCCAATTCAAATGATTCTATTTTTTTTCTTCTTATTTATTTTATTTTTTGTAAAAATCATTTATAGGTGAACAGAACCAAAATTAAGACATGAAGAATAACCCGCTCACTAAAATTATTCACTGACTCAAGGAATAATTAAAACATAGCTATTTACTTCTGAAATCCTCAAAACAAATAGTTTATCAGCAGTGAGTCTCCTTTGGTAAGGAGAGAAAACAAAAATGAGATGCTAATCAACTATGCACAATGACCCCTGACATAAGAAAATGGCAGATCACGCCTAGCAAGTGTGGCCCAGCAGTTGAGTAGTGACCCAGGAACCAGGAAGTTAACCGTTCAATTCCCGGTCAGGGCACATTACTGGGGTTGCGGGCTCGATCCCCAGTAGGGGCATGCAGGAGGTAGCCAATCGATGATGTTTCTGTTTCTTTATCCCTCCCCCTTCCTCTCTCTATAAAAATCAATAAAATACATATTAAGAAAGAAAATGGCAGATCAAGACCATGAATCTAACTATTTGTCTCCCTATGAAAGAATGCAACTAGATACACAAAAGGAACAAATCTGCCTTACCAGAGGTAAGGCTGGAGGGCAGGGATATAAACATGAACTGTCACAACGATAGCACCACTGGCATTCAAAAATAGTTATTTTTAAAAATCCCAATTGCATAAAAATGGTATCTTCTTCATTATGTTATCTATAAGGTTATTTCCCCAAATTCTTCCCCAGGTATCAAGCTATATGGTTTTTCTTCTGTGAAATAAATTAATTAAATAAATTTCTAAGTTTCAAGAAGAATTTGAATAACAATATAGGGGTGGGCAAAAGTAGGTGTACAGTTGTATGAAAAAAGACATGCAGGTTACGATTATAATAATACAAGAATAAACTGTTTTGTATACTCACAACCTGTACACCTACGTTTGCCCATCCCTGTACTGTTCCTAGTTTTACTTGGAAATAATGAAACATTTCTACAGTGATTACAATACAATAATAAGGGCTCACAGAAGGAAGTAAATCTATTCTAATTATTGTAAGAATGCATAGGTATTAAGATATTAAAAGTGTCATAAGGAGAAGTTTAAAACTCACAAAAGTAAGTTCCAAGGAATTCCCTACCTTCAGAAACTTGTTTGACCGAGGTTCTCAACTATGACACTGCTGACATTTTGGGCTAGAAAGTTCTTTATTTGGGTGTGGTGAGGGGTGTTATTGTATAAGACGGTTAGCAATATCCCTGATCTACCCACTAGATAGCAGCAGCACCCCTCTCCCCAACTCCCCAGTTGTGACAACCAAAACTATCTCCAAACATTTGCCATATGGTCTGTGTGGGTCAAATCAGCCTCAGTTGAGAAACATTGTTCTAATCCAACCACCAAGTGATTATTCACTTTATTTTTGAAAGTTTCAAAAGACAACTCTCATCCCAATGATCTATTTTTTTCTAAGCCCTGTTAAAAATGTTATTTTTATTGATATTAAGTCTACCTTCTTAAACAACTGGAAACATATCTGACATTAGCTAGTAAATGATTTTTACCCAAAATATGATTTAGCAACTCTGAAATGACTTTATGTGTGCCGTTATCCTGGCCCAATTCCTGTGGGTAATATAGAACAAGTACAGTCTTTCTTTCACAGGTCATTCGTTCATGGTCTGCTCATCAAATATATATTGTGTGTCTAATATGTGATCAGCTCTGTGCTCGATGCTGACGATAGAGCAGTAAATAAAAATTAAATCCCTGTCCTCATCCTCATGAAGCTAACATTTTAATGTTGTAAATAAAATAAGTAAAATATGTAGGATGTTAGAGAATAAGAGTTAAGGAGAAAACTTTAGATTACTGAGGTGTGTATTTCAGACATGGTGACCATTTGGGGGGAGAGACTTTGAAGGAGTTGAAGGAGTGAGCCCGGCAGTTACCAGACAGAGGAAATGGCAGGGACAGGGGCCCTGAGGCAGAAGCATGCCAGGAGTGTTCAGAGAGAAGAGGCAGTGTGGTGCAGTGGTGTGAGTGGAGAGAAGAGTAGGAGGCCAGGTCTTTGACTACAGTGCATTGTAAGACAAGGTAAGGACATTGGCTTTTACTCTCTGCAAGATGGGAAGCAATTGGAGGGCATTGAGAAATAATATGATCTTGCTTTTGTTTGAACATGATCACTCTGGCTGTTATGTTGAATACAGATTAAAGGGGACAAAAGTGAAAGCAGAACATCAGTCCAAGAGGCTCTGAAGATAATCCAGTCAAAATTTTATGGTGGTTTGAATTTAGGTAATAGTGGAGACAAGTGACTGCACTGGATACCATATGAAGAGAGGGGCTGGGTGCATGAATTCGTGCAACCAGTGTGGTCCCTCGGCCTGGCCTGTGGGATGGGGCCAAAACTGGCTTTCCGACATCCCCCAAGGGGTCCCAGATTGTGAGAGGGTGCAGGCCAGGCCAAGGGACCCCACTGGTGCATGAGTTGAGTTGGGGAGGGATGTGGGAGGGTTGGCCAGTTGGAGAGAGGCCACAGGAGGGCTCCAGGGTGTGACCGGTCCGTCTTGCTCAGTCCCAATCGGCTGGACCTCAGCAGCAAGCTAACCTACTGGTCTGAGCATCTGCCCCCTGGTGGTCGGTGCACATCATAGAGAGCAGTTGAGTGGACTTAGCATGCCATTAGCATATCACACTTTGATTGGTTAGCATGCCATTAGCATATCACACTTTGATTGGTTAGCATAACCAATCACTTAGCATATTAGGCTTTTATTATATATGGTATATGTATATGTATACACACACACACACACACACACACGTATATATACTTATTTTCCACACACATGTGTGTGTGTGGGGGGTGGAAAATGAGCAAGGAAGTTATTGAAATCTCATTTACTTGGAAAGAAACCTTAACTTCCATATATCCTGGGTATAGGCTGCTAAACATGGATAACTGATCTTCCGCTCTGGGTTAAAAAGATAAAAATAAGCCAAGTCAGCTCAGAAATAAACATCTGTATATATGGTCAATGGATTTTCCACAAGGGTGTCAAGACCCACTCAATGAAGAAAGAACAGCATCAACAAATGTGTTAGCAAAACTGGATATCTACACACAAAAGAATGAAGATGGAACCTTATCTTATACCCCATACAAAAAAAAAATTGACTTTGTTACCTGCAACAAATCCAACCACCAGATCTTTTCCAGTAGTAGAATGTTGACCTTTGACCCAGACTGTTTTGAGGCTATTAAAAGTGTAGAAATAGACAAAATTGGAGCAGCAGAGACTGGAGATAACTGGAAACCACCCTCGATATGGGGCCAGGCTAGGGAAAAAACAATAAGTAAAGTAAAGATGATGGACAAAAGCCACTATCGATAGAAATGAGTTAAGTCCAAGGAAAGGCTGATCATCATTCACATATTTTCAAAGTTCACTCCTGCACTACAATGTACTTTGCACTATACACATCTTACATTCTGAAGGATGCCCAAACCAACTCTTTTCTAGCGCTAATAACGCCAAAGAAACAATACACTTTCAATGGCTGATTTACTGCTTCCCTTTAGTAAATAACTATGTAATACTAGACAATTTCCTCATGGCTGTTAGCTAATACAGTATTATTCACATTTTATTACAGGGCAATAATATTTAAAATAAAGTAAATATAGAATATAAGTGCAAAAAAAAGTGAGGAGGGCATATTATAACAGTACAAGAACCAGGCTAAGAGATTCCCACTGGCCAAACCAGGAAAAATTTATCACTAAAATAATAAAGTATAGTAATCAATTATAAATCATTAGTAAAACAGAAATTTCTGAGTCTATATTGACACCAACTAAAGTAATGCTCAGAGAGTGCTTATAATTGCAACAGAGGAAATATAAAATCATTTAGTGGCTAACTCAAATCTAAAAAATCATGATTTGCCCAGCCGGTGTGGCTCAGTAGTTGAGCATCAACCTCTGAACCAGGAGGTCAGTTAGATTCCTGGTCAGGATCCATGCTCCAGCTGAATAGGCTGGATCATGATCCTCAGTAGGAGATGTGTAGGAGGCAGTCATTAAATGATTCTTATCATTTAAGTTTCTATCTCTCTGTCGCTCTCCCTTTCTCTTGAAATTAATAAAAATATATTTTTTTAAAAAATCACAATTAACCAATAAAGAGCAGATGGGCAATATGTGACTCTAGATGTGACCCTGAGAAGGACACAATATCACCTATGCATTATTCTGGCCCAGAATACATAGCCTCATCTAATCATGAAGAAACATGAAGCAAACTTAAATTAACCAGCATTTTATTTTTTAAAAGTGGGTGGGAGATTGTCTATATTCTTTAAAAGTGTCAATGGCAGCCCTGTGTGGCTCAGTTGATTAAGTGTCATCCTGTGCACAGAAAGGTTGCCAGTTCAATTAGCATTCGTATCAAGTTATGTTCAAGTTACTTACTGGCTTGATCCCCATGGGGTACATGCAGGAAGCAACCATTGATCCATGTTTCTCTCTTATATTGATGTTTCTCTCTCTTTCCCTTCCTTCCTCTTTCTTTAAAAATCAATAAAAACATATTGAAAAAAACTTTTGTCATAAGGGTAAAGGGTTTGGATGTATGAAACTTATACTAAAATAATTTGGAAAAAAATCTGTGTATGGTGTGTGCGTGTGGTACAAAGAGAAAAGGAAGGAGAGAGAAAAGGAGGAAAGAATGCATGAGCAAATGACAAAAAAAAAGAATGTTAAAAATAGGTGAATCTGGGTCAAGCATATACTAGTAATAATCAAGTTTTGCAACTTTTTGTAAATTTGAAAGCATTTCCAAACAAAAAGTTAAAACTAGTACATAATCTGGATGCACCTGATAGGAATTAACTACACAACTATTACGTTCTTCAGTTTAGTGTACAAAAAACAAAATAATGATTTCATGGAAGACTATAATCAAGATTCAAAATGGCGAACCACAGGACTTGTACTTACAAGTCAGTAGTTATAAATTCACAACACTAAGGCTATGAGAACGCACAGGAAGGAGTGTTGGCCTGTGAATCTCCTAGGGCGGTGCTTTCTAACAAAGATGAAGGCAGTAGTACTCACAGGCCTTCTTCTTTAATGATCTCCAGGAGCACCATGTGTGTAGTTTTGGACTTTCTTTTCTCATCAACTACAAGAGAAAAAATATATCTGTTATTCATGGATCATAGAATTTTAATTCAATACCTAATACCCCAAGTAAAAGATGTGACAAAAGCATTGGCTAGTTTGGTTCAGTGAATAGAGCATTGATCTGCGGACTGAAGGTTCGATTCCAGTCAAGGGCACATCCCTGGGTTGCAGGTTCGATCCCCAGTGAGGGGCGTGCAGGAGGCAGTCAATCAATGACTCCCTCTCATCGTTGATGTTTCTATCTCTCTCTCTCCCTCTCTTTTCCTCTCTGAAATCAATTAAAAAAAAAAAAAAAAAAAAAAAAAAACCTTAAAAAAAAAAAGATGTGACAAAAGAAATTTACTTATTGGGGGGGGGCAGGATAGATAGAAAGGGTTAATGAGGGGGAGGAAAGGGATATTTGTAATATTTTCAACAATAAAGATAAAGTTTTAAAAAAAGAAACTTATTTCTTATATTTATAAGGCTCTCTTGTTTCCCCCTACCCCCAAGTTACATATTTTCATTTTTATCTTAACATCTTACAGAGAGGAAATAAACTATGATCTTCCTTTTAGAAAAAAGCCGTAGAAACAACAGCTGTGAGGGATATGTAAATGGCAGCAAAGTCAGGATTAAAACTCAAGCTTCCAAAAACAGGAAAGAAAAAAAAAAAAAAACCTTCAAGTTTCCAGCCTGGCCAGAGTCGCTCAGTTGGTTGGGCATCGTCCAGTGCACTGAAATATTGCCGGTTCGATTCCCAGTCAGGGCACTGCCCAGGTTGCTGGTCTGATCCCTGGTAGGGGGTGTGCTAAAGGCAGCCCATCGATGTCTCATTCTCACATCAGTGTTTCTCTCTCTTCCTCTTCCTTCCTCTCTCTCTAAAAATAAATAAAAATAAAAACAAAAAAACCTCAAGCTCCCAAAGTTTTAGCCTTGTTGTGCTCTCTCCTACTGTCTCTAAAAATCAATGGAGAAAATATCCTTGGGTGAAGATTAACAAAACAGCAATAAAAAAGAATTACATGGGTACCTATATGGCAAATTAGGAAACCTATATAGAAGGAATCTGGCAATAGCTATCAAAATGAAAAACACATTTACCCTTTGATCAGCAATCCCACTTCTAGGAATTTATTTCATAGAATTTACAGAAACAGTGGCATATGAATAAGTCTATTCTACAAAAGGGCACATCCCTGAATCTCCAATTGGGAGCTGGGGTGGGTGAGGGGTAAATAGGTTGTGGTACATTCACACCATGGATCATTCTTCAGTCAGAAGAGGCTCCCAATGCACTGATTTGGAAGGCATTCAAAATACGCTGCTAAGTGAAAATGCAAGGTACAGAACCGTGGGAAAAGTATGCTTTGGGCATAAGAAAGAAAAGAATATATATTCTTATTTGCTTGTTACTCCATAAAGAAACTCTGCAAAACTATTTGAGAAACTATTAAGGACATTCTCTGCAGGGAAGAAAAAGGAAAAGGGGGCAGACTAAATTGCCGAAACTGGTTTGGCTCAATGGATAGAGCGTCGGCTTGGGGACTGAAAGGTCCCAGGTTCGATTCCGGTCAAGGGCATGTACCTTGGTTGCGGGCATATCCCCAGTAGGGGGTGTGCAAGAGGCAGCTGATCGATGACTCTCTCTCGTCGATGTTTCTAACTCTCTATTTTTCTCCCTTCCTCTCTGTACAAAATCAATAAAATATATTAAAAAAAAAAAAAAAATATATATATATATATATATATATATTATTGATTTTTTTACAGAGAGGAAGAGAGAGGGATAGAGAGTTAGAAACATCGACGAGAGAGAATCATCGATCTTGCACCACCCCTACTGGGGACCGGAATCGATCCTGGGACCCTTCAGTCCACAGGCCGACCTCTATCCATAGAGCCAAACCGGTCTCGGCTGACTATATGTTTTTTTTAGTATTTTGTTTTTGAGTTGAGTCGACTAAAATTATTACCTATCTTAAGACTCTAAAATTAATTAAAAATAGTAGTAATGGAAGGTTTTAACATAGGAATTAATTTATTCAAAACTCATTTTACTCTTATCTCTTCTTGTACATTTTGGCATAGGTTTGAGTATTAGGCTCCACTATGTTTCCTATTCTTTCTTCTCTTTTGAGAAAATCTACCCCCAGCAAAAACTCTCTACTGTGCCTTTTAAAAGTCATATTACTTATTAGAAATAATCACAATGATTCAAAACTATTAATGCAAGCCCAATCAGGTTATCTCAGAATAGAAAATGGTTGAGGCTGACTAATCCATGAACCAGTCTCAGTTAATTAGGAAATAGCAATGATGATGAGTATTTAAAGCGTCAGTGAAAATGGACAACGGATCTCTAATGAAACAGAGTATCTTTGTGTTAATTTAGAACTTACTAGAAAAATGTTTGCTTCCTGATACTACAAAAGATACTCACCTTGAAGTCGCAGCCGAGCTGTATCCAAAGGAAAAAACACCGTCATTGCTGTCACGCTGCCCTGAAACGTTTGAAAAGCTTTTAGGCTTTACACATCACAAGGCAGTGAGCCATAACTTTTAAATGAACAGAAGTTTGCTATTAACTATGGGCCAAGTCAGATTTTCAGTGAACAAACACATGCAACATTTTAACCTATTGGGATTATTACTGTTCACACTTCTATAGTTATGTACCTTAAACAGAAGTATTACATTTTCTGGAAGAAATATCTTTCTATCTCTCTGGTATTGAAAAAAACACGTTGTGGCTCCCTAGAGATGACAATCTTAAGGGTTTGGAAACTAGGACACTTGTCAAAGATAGCAGGTAAATGGATTTATAATATTTCGCAGGTCAGCTGCTATTCCTATCTACTGGAATAAAAATATCCAGTAATCATACAAATAACTATTTCTATTCTCTGTGCTCAATCAAGATATTCACCACAAAGTAAAAGTGTAAGAACCATATTGTTCTTTTTTAAAATTATTATTTATTTTTATTTTGCTTTATTTTTATTGTTGACACTGTTACAGATGTCTCAATCATCCTTCCCACACTTCCTTTCACCTAGTCCCCAATCCCTTTCCCTCTGGCCATCACCACACCATGTCTGTGTCTATGGGTTATGCACATATGTTCTCTGACTAATCTCTTCACCTTCTTTCATCCGGTCCCCACTTACGCTCCCCTCTAACAGCTGTCAATTTGTTCCTAGTATCTATGCCTCTGTTTCTATTTTATTCATCACTTTATTTTAGATTCTACATGTAAGTGAGATCCTATGGTAATTGCCTTTCTCTGACTGGCTTATCATATTATTCTTTATAATTTTGTTTGCTGTGCTTTAAATAAAAGAGACAATCTCTTTACTAAAATTTATATAAATAATTCATCCAAGCTAACACAATGAAAAAATGATCAAGAAAAAAAGGAGCCAACAGCCAGTCCTTCCATTCATTAAGATCCTATAAGTAAAAACAAGCATATAATTAGGGATGAAATTATACACATAAAATTTCTCTTATGTTTATGATTCTCAACCCAGAAACAGGCCCACTGGTGGTATATATTCTCAGCCAGAAGATCAAGTTTTAGGTTGCTGATTGAATAATGGTTAAGTACAATAGTCTAATCATGACAATGGCTGGAAACTAGAATAATTTTACTAGTGTACAAAAGAACAAAAACTTACTAGGTCTCTTATCTATTTATTTATTTTTTAAATATATTTTATTGATTTTTTTTTTTTTTACAGAGAGGAAGGGAGGATAGTTAGAAACATCAATGTGAGAGAAACATCGATCAGCTGCCTCCTGCACACCCCCCACCAGGGATGTGCCCGCAACCCAGGTACATGCCCTTGACCGGAATCGAACCCGGAACCTTTCAGTCCGCAGGCAGACACTCTATCCACTGAGCCAAACCAGCTTCGGCTCTCTTATCTATTTAAATAGGTCAGCCAGGGCGAAACCAGTTTGGCTCAGTGGTAGAGCGTCGGTCTGCGGACTGAAAGGTCCCAGGTTCGATTGCGGTCAGGGCCATGTCCGTTGGTTGCGGGCACATCCCCGGTAGGGGGTGTGCAGGAGGCAGCTGGTCGATGTTTCTCTCTCATCGATGTTTCTAGCTCTCTATCTCTCTCCCTTCCTCTCTGTAAAAAATCAATAAAATATATATTTAAAATAAATAGGTCAGCCAGCTCTGGCCAGTGGTCAGCTGGTGGGAGCACCGTCCCAAACACCAAATAGGTCACGGGTTGGATTCCCAGTGAGGGCACGGATCTAGGTTTGGGGCTCTATACTCAGTTGGGGCATGAACAGGAGGTAACGGATCAATGTTTCTCTCTCACACTGATGTTTCTCTCTCTCTCTCATTAAATCAATAAACATATCCTCTGGTGAGGATTAAATAAATAAATAGCTCAGCCAGCTTGACAGGGAGAACACTGTACTGTCTTATTAGTATTCTTCAAAACTCAGATTAAATGTTACCATCACCCACCACCCACCCCCACCCACTAGGTTACAATTGGTACTTCATTCCTCTACATTCCCACACCACTTGTTTACATCTCTTACAGCACTTACAGTGTGGTTGGAAATATCCCATTTTCTTATACATACTAAATAGTTTTTTTTAATCCTCATCCAAAAATGTTTTTTTAATTTATTTTAGAGAGGAAGGGAGGGAGAGAGAGAAAAAAAACAACAACACATCAATGTGAGTGAGAAACATTTGTTGGTTGCCTCTCCTATGCCCCTCACCAAGGATCAAACCCGCAACCTTTTGGTATACAGAATAACGACGTGCCAACCAACTGGCCAGAGCACTAGCAGCTTTTTAAGACTGTGACTGAGCACTCTGTTTTCTGACGGTTGCTGTTGTCCATGCTTCTTGCTCACAGTGCCTTGTTTCTCTTTGAGTTTAGTTAGTTGGATTGAGCTGGTCATTTACCTTAGAATTTTATTTTGGGGCATTCTTTTCAACCCCTTCAAGATAAGTATCTCTGGAAAGGATATCTGTTAGGCACTTTGGCTCCGTCCTGCTGGAATCACTCTTAAATTATTGGCTTAAGGTTTTCAAGTGATGCAAGTACTGGGAGGGCTTGTGGTTTCAAAATCTCACTCCCGGCCCCTAATCAGTGCCAAGGTTGGAGATAGCTGATTTTCCTAGGGAGAAGTAAAATTATTTCCTATTCACCTTTATAACATATTAGAGGCCCGGTGCATGAAAATTCATGAACTGGGCGGGGGTGGGGGGTTCCTCAGCCCAGCCTGCCCCCTCTCACAATCTGGGAGCCCTCAGGGCAGGAGGCGACCCGATAATCAGGGGAAGGCAATGTCCCATCACACCTCTGCTGCTGCCACTGTTGGCAGTGCAAGCCTCGGCTGGCCCTGGTTACCTGAGCCTTGGGCTGGCCCTGGGCAGCGGGGCAGCTGCCATCTGAGGCTTGCCTGCACCTCTGGCTGACCCTGGGCAGCCAGGAGCTGGGGGACTCTGGAGGCTGGTGTGCAGAGTGGCCAGGACTGCCTGGGGGCACGCTGGGCCTTGCCTCAGGCCTGCCGCCCCAGCGGGGCTGAGGGGACTGAGCACCACCATCTTGTGTCTGTGGGCACACCATCGTTGAAGGTGTGGCATCAATTAGCATATTCCCTTCATATTGGCTGTAGGTGCCACCATCTTTGAGGGCATGGTGGTCAATCAGCATATTCCCTTCTTATTGGTTGTGGGCACCACCATCTTTGAAGTGGGGCAGTCAATTAGCATATTTTCCTCCTTATTGGCTGTGGGTGCCACCACCTTTGGGATGGTGTAAGGGTCAATTAGCATACTTCCTCTTTATTAGATAGGATTCCTTTGGGAAAGTCACCTTAGACTTTCTCACCTTCCCTGTATCTCTGGAAGGTACAAATCTAAAGTTCATGTTTATCTGGTTAAGCAATTTCTGCTCTCCTTGCCCCTGGATCCTGCCTTTATTCATTCTCTAGTCTGAGTGTGCCTTATATTCTTGTCATCTTATTAATACTTTTAAGAAGTTATTTTTTAAAGAACATTTTATACAAGTTTTTATTATAAAGGGAAATTTTCAGAAGAAGGTTTGATTAGCTCCTGAATTAGAAACAGAAATCACAATGTATTTTATAATATAAGTATTAAAATATTATTAAATTATTTGAATTATTAAAATATTTAAAATTTGTGAATGTTTACCTTTTACAGTTTATTCTACTTCATTCTTATTTCATGATAAACTTCTATAAGAGCAATTTGAAAGCATATCATATTTCAAATCTATTTCCCCATAATATCTAACACGATTCTTCTACATTCCCTGTATGTTTAAATATATTTTGAACTTAACTCCCTGCCTCCCAAAAGTTTATAAAATTTAGTAGAGTAGCAAGTACTGAACAAAAGCAAATCAAAACAAACATAAAAACCAGTTTACCCTGGATATGAAAATTAGGAAAATGGCAAAATCGGAGAGGAATTCCCTCCCACCCCCTGCAGAAATCTGAAGGTAGGCACTCTGTACACAGGAGTCTGATTAACCACACACCACGGGATATTTAGGGAGTTATCCAAGTAACCTCAGGAGCTTCCAACCAGAAAGAACAGAACACAAATACAAACACTGCTCTAGCAAAGTACATCTGATATAAAAACAAAGGGCTATCTGCCAGAAGAACTGTAACAGGAGAATCAATATTTCTTGCTGATTTACAGGATGTGGACTTCTAGTACGAGAGAGAAGAGACAATCACAGCAATAAAGACACCACTGACAGAAATAAGAATGTCAAAAGAGGGACCTCATTTTAAGAAATTACTAGTTCAATTTGAGATGATAAATTAACTGTTCTCTCTCACCTGGGTTCTAATGGTATCATGCATCCTGTGCACAAGATTCTATTTCTTAGCAATCATTGCACTGTACCGTGTTCAGTTGTTAACGTGTTTTTCTTCCTTATCAGACCACTAGAGGCCTGGTGCACAGATTCGTGCACCGGTGGGGTCCCGCAGCCAGGCCTGTGGGGATTGGATCAAAAACGACTCTCTGAGGGGTTCCGGACTGCAAGAGGGCAGTTCTCAGGGGACACACTCTGGAATCGGGCTCCCTCCTCTCTTCACCCAATATTATGTCACTTTCTCTCTGTGTCTGTCTCGCTTCTTTCATCTCACTGTACCCTAAGTTTAGCAGTAACTAACAATGTGTGGGCATTTAGCTGTAAAATGCAATTATTTAGCAAACAGATTTACGTAAGCCTGGAATCTAGTCAGCCTAGGGCACGACTCTGCTCAATGCCAGGCTCCCGCCCAGGCCCTTTGCCAAGGAAGAGTCCTGTGGCAGCGGGAACCTCCTTCCTCCCACCTAAGTTGCTCCTTTGCCTACTTCCCTCCCCAGATGTTGCCCACTGGTGCTACTGTCCACCGGAAGGAAGGAAACCACAGCCAGTTTAAAATTCACTGCCTCCATTGAAAATCGACATTAAGCAGATGGGCCAGCACCAGACACTGG